AAAAAAAAAAAAAAAAAAAAATCACATTTTTTTTTTAATCCATTTCCTTGGTTGATGGGTAGTTGAGTTGTTTCTAACATTTAGCTACTACAAACTGTGCTGCTATAAACATGGCTGTACATACACCTCTGTGGTACAGTGAAAATTTTATGATATAATTTATAATAGAATTTAAAGAACAAAATAACAGGAATTTACCTAGAGAAAGATACGTAACAATTATGCACAGAACACTATAAAATATTATTGATATAGCAAAGATCTAAATATATCACATTCGGGGGCCAGGGAGATAGCTCAGTAGAATAAGCACCTGCCTGGCAAGTGCAAGGTCCTGAGTTCAATCCCTGGTACCGCAAAAAAATAAAAAAATTAAAAATAAATAAATAAATATATCATGTTCATGACTCGAAATGACTCATTATTGTAATGACTCATTATTATAAAGTTGTCACTTCTCAAATTGACCTATAAGCCCAGAGACTCAGCAATTGTGTGAGTTTGTGAAAATTAATATATTCATTCTAATAGTTATGTTAGAAATGCAAAATACACAGGATACCTAAAACAATTTTGAGGAAAAACAAAGCTTAAAAATGTATGGTATTGGGCCAGAGAGATAGGCCAGCAGACTAAGCACCTGCTTAGGCAAGCGCAGGGACTGAGGTTCCATCCCCACACCACACGCTGCACCAGCCCCACTCCTGGGCACACTGAGCCAGCCACCAAGTCCAGGCATGGTAGCAAGTGCCTGTAATCCCAGCGCTGGGGAGGCTGCAAACAGGAGGATCACTATGAGTCCAAGCTGCACAGTGAGATGCAGTACCAAATACATAAGAAAAAATATATATAGTTAAGTCTTACTATAAAAATATACAATGATTAAAATAGTCTAATGTTGGTGTAAGGACAAACAAGTAGACCCAGGAAATGGGACAGAATTTAGAAAAAAAAAGTATTAATTACCTTAGTACATATATGTACCTCAGTTATATATAATAATACATAATTTTCTAGATAAATGAGAAGATGGAAATCAATTAATGGTGTTGAGACAGTTGATATTTATATGTAAAAAGATAAATATGGAGCCCCCACCATCATTCCCAATTAATTAGTTCAGGATTGATTGTAGATCTGTATGTGAAATGTTAAACCACTAGAAAATAGAGCTTTAAAGCCAGTAGTAGAAAAAAATATTTCTGATTTCTGTGGCTGATTGAATGTACAGGAATCGATACTCCTGGTCAATGATGTCCAAATTTCTTTTTTCCAGGGAAATTTGGCACTGGGATTCAGTCCTACTTCTCCTTCTTGAGGTTCCTGGTGTTACTGAATTTGGTGATTTTTATGATCATCTTTATGTTGGTTTTGCTCCCAGTTTTGCTTACCAGATACAAAATCACCAATAGCACCTTTGTGTACATTCCACTGAAAGATGCGGGTAAGTTTATGGCCTTGTTTCTTGTTGCGTGTTTTTTCAGTGTGCTACTCACGGCAGTGCTTTCTTTTCTTTTTTTCTTTTTCCTCCCCCATTTATGTATTTGGTACATGGTTTCACTATGCAGCTCGGACTTGTAGTGATCCCCCTGTTTACAGCCTTCCAAGTGCTGGAATTACAGGTGTGCGCCACCGTGCCCAGACTTGGTGGCTGGCTCAGCCGGCGTGTCCTGTGGGACTGGGGATCAAACCCTGGTCCCTGCCCTTGCCAAAGCAGGCGCTTAGTCCACTGAGCTATCTCACTGGCCCTGTGGCACCTTCTTTGCTAAGAATCTTTGTTCTAAATGTCAGGTTACTGTATTAGGGTGAGCTAAGTTATGTTCCTGTAACAAATAGTCCCATAACTCACAGTGTCTAACAACTGCAAAGTTTTATTTCTTACTCACGGTGCATAATTCATCATGAGCTGGTGGTCTTCACTCTGGAGCCGAAGCTCCTGAGCAGCTACTAGCTGGACCGTAGTCATTGTAGTCTGCACAGAAAGAATGGTGGCCAACATGTGCTGGCTTCTGGTTCTTTTGCCTACAGGTGACACACGACCCTATTTCTGCCACACCTTATTAGCCAAAGCAAGATACGTGGCTTCTCCCGTTGTCTCAGTTACTTTTCTCTTTGCTGGGGCAAAACACCCAACACTTAAAATTAAGGAAGCAAAGGTTTATTTAGCTCACAATTTGGGGCGGTTTCAGTCCATACTCAGCTGGCTCCAGGGCAGAGTGGCACATGGCAGAGGGCAGCAGTTCATGGTGATGGAAAACAGAAAAGAGAAAAGGCAAAAGTGGGGAGCAGCTGCAACAATGGCACCAGAGAGCAAGTCTGTCTCCCTTTTGTTGTATTCAGGCTGTCTGCCCCAGGCCCGGTGTAGCACTCACACATGTATCCCAGCAACACTCACATGCATAATCCAAGCGCTGGATCACGAATTGTCACAGACTCTAGCAGTCTAGCCCATAGCTGCATGAGGCTTTGGGGGGACAACTAGACACAAACCCTAACATACCACTTGGGAGGAGCAAACATAACACAGTCTGCTCCATTTTGCAGTTTTTATCACTGACAAGGATGCAGTTCTAGGCTACTGTTTATTCAACACCAGTAACATGCCAGATACTATGGCAAGTGCTGGATGTGTTTTCATACTGAACTGTGAACACAGTCAGGTTTTGGGGATCCTCTTTGCTAGCTGAGGGGAGTTTCAGTCATTCTGCAGACATCAGTTGAGCACCACTGAGTCCCAGGCTAGGAGCTCACCAGGTTTGGCTCGTGCTTCATAGCATGCTGATCTCTAGGCCAGAGCAAAGTGAGGACAGGGTGGCAGGCATCCCAGTCCATCTTCCTGGTTTCTCTCAGATGAATAACTCTGTGCTGTGTCTACATTGCTTAATGCAGACATTTGAGCACCCTATATAAACCCACATGCCACTTTTCATACCCTGCTGTTGGGAGCCATGGAAGCCGGAAAATCAATCAAAAGTGTGTAGGTGGTACTAGGCCTCAGTGCCTAAAGCAAACAAGCTACCTCAGTCCTGGGTTAAACATCCTGTCTGGTTAAGGTCAGCTATTAGTCAGTAGACAACCTTGTGTCATGTGTTACTAACTTTGCAAAGGTATAAACAAACATCAGGTTTGTCTCATCTTTTTTTTTTTTTTTTTTTTT